TTCCTGGATTCCCACCTGACCCAACCAGAAATGACTTCTTTATCCCTTGATCTCTTGCAGCCCTCTGTAAACAGAGTTTACACATTTACATGATTCACATAATGAAGGCCATGTATTAAAGGCATTTGTTTCTGTACTAACTACCAAGCTAAACTGTAAGATTTTTGAAGGTGGCTCTCTTTATAATCATCTTTTCATCCTAAGAAGACTCTAATATACAATAGACTTTGGGGGGGAAAGTGTATTTAATAAATTTAAATGTAGATCTATTTCAACAAGAGTTTTTCACACCTATTTTAGCAGTATTTTCATTTTATATCATGCTGAAATTCTCAAGTAGAACATGTGCTATTGTACTATATATCTGTTGAAATCATGAGCAAGAAAACTATGTAAATTTTAGAGTGTCTGTTTTGCCTAAAGATAAGCAGCTCAATGTGAATACTAAATGTAAACCTCAGCTTAAGTCCAGCTATGAATAATTACATGACTGGTGACATTTTTGGGAATGGAGTTTTAAAATATATAGGGTACATTGACATCCCCAAGTTAGGAGTAAATCAATGAAAACAAACTATTAGTATTATATGTACCATCTGCATTTGGAGAAATTCATATAACATATATTATTACTACTTTTTGAATTTTGTGTGTGTGTGTCTGCATGTGTGTGGTGATGGGGATAAAACCTAGGCCTTGCATATGCTAAGCAAGTGTTCTACTATTGAACTACACTGCCTTTTGGGCTGAATATTTTTATTTTTCCTATGGAGGAATTTTACTATATTGAACCTTGTCACTGGTGTGAAATCAGTTTTATGTTTTATGTAGAGATTGAGAGAAAAAATTGTGGTATACAGAACAAATCATTTCCAGGTACTTCTATAAGATTACTTCTATAATATTATATATACTATACTATATTGACTGACACCCAAATTTCCTCTGCTTGAGATTGTTGACTGATGATATTTTCTTTCCATATGTTTATTTTTTCTCATTTTATTTAAATGTCCAATTCATAAAAAATGACAAAATCATGGAATTTGCAGGGAAATGGATGGCGCTAGAGCAGATTATGCTTAGTGAAGCTAGCCAATCCCTAAAAAACAAATACCAAATGTCTTCTTTGATATAATGAGAGCAACTATGAACAGAGTAGGGAGGAATAGCTGGAAAACAGTTCTTATGTTTAGATAGAGACATGAGATGGGAGGGAAAGGGAAAAGGGAAATTGCATGGAAATGAAGAGAGACCCTCATTGCCATACAAAATTTACATATAAGAGGTTGTGAGGGGAATGGGAAAATAAACAAGGAGAGAAATGAATTACAGTAGATGAGGTAGAGAGAGAAGATGGGAGGGGAGGGGAGGGGGGATAGTAGGGGATAGGAAAGGTAGCAGAATACAACAGTTACTAATAGGGCATTATGTAAAAATGTGGATGTGTAACCGATGTGATTCTGCAATCTGCATTTGGGGTAAAAATTGGGAGTTCATAACCCACTTCAATCTAATGTATGAAATATGATATGTCAAGAGCTTTGTAATGTTGTGAACAACCAATAAAAAATGAAAAAAAATAAATGTCCAATTCATAGATTCAGTGAATAATTAAATTTTTATTAAAATAACCATGTGCTATTATTTGTAATGCAGAAGAGTTAGAGATGTATTTCATTGCAATTTCAGCTGTCATTTGGATTACCTCTTCACATGAACAATGAAATCTTTACTGATAATTTGGAAATAGCATTGAAGCATATGGATTGGATATTCCAACCATCATAGCTGCATATCTGCTTTTCAGTATATATGAAATAAAAAATGGAATCCGCTCCCTATTACATCCTGACTTGCTTTTTTTGAACACTGGAAAATAATACTGATTATAATTTTATATTAAAATTTTCTTCCTTAATTTTGTTTATTATATTTTGAATCTATTAGAGGAAGTTTCAAAACCAAGAGGTGGACTGGTAGGTTGATAATGTGATCTTCAGGGAGTCATAAATTAACATTTGACCAAAACAATATGGAGTAGCAATTATTAACTATTTTTAATGATGACTCTATAGAATAGTTGCTTATTGTTTCACTTGCATTCTGTTTGGGAAAGGACTGTCAAAGTTTATTTTTCTGTGAGAGTATAGAAATTTTTAGACTTTTCCTAGGGTCTCAGTTTATTTCATTGATGATTATGAGTATAACTATTGCCAACTTAATAGTATGAAAATTAAGTGATGATACAAAGAAATTAATATTTTCTGTTTTTAATATATGTTCTTGTTACCTGAAATATCCCAAATCAAATAAAAACCAACATAGTAAATGAGTGTAAAAATGGATCAGATTTTTAAAAATAGCTCCCATTTGTTACCTAGCCTACAATTGAACAAATTTGTATTGACTTGGATGATGGTAGAAGTAGCTCCTATCTTACTGAACTTATTTTTTTATTTTTTATTTATTTATTTTTACACTTATTCATTCACCATTTAATTGCAAGATGGGTTTGCTGTTATACTTGTAATCCCAGCAACTCATGAGGCTAAGTCAGGAGATTGCAAGTTTAAGGCCAACTTTGGAAACATAGTAAGACCCTGTTTTAAAATAAAAAGTAAAAAGGGCTGGGATAAAGAGCTAGGTTAAATCATCAGTTCTGTAGAAACAAATAAAATATATTCAATCATTTATTCAAGATTTATTCTTTGAATACTGAAATGGAACACAAAATAATCGAAATTCTTATCAAAAATTCACAGTTCCAGGGCAGGCATTGCAGGAGGGGTCGAGATGGAAGAACAGTGAGAAGTAGATAATTAAAATACATTAGCATGACCTGGAATATTCTACTAGGGAAAACATAGTAGCTCCTAATTTGCAGGAGGAGGAGGTATTTCCATAAATGACATGAAATTTTTGTGTAATCAGTGAAGATGGTCAGAGTTCTCCAGAAGAACCTGAGGAAGAGAACATTTCAGACAAAAGGAGCAATATGTGTAAAGGCATAGGTGTATGTCAGAACCTGAAAACTGTCTCTACCTTGAACTGCCTGGGAGCCCTGCCAAGACATTAAAACACAACAGAGGAAACCAGGACTTAGGTTGTGTAGTTATTTAACATTTATTGAACATTATCATCCTGGGTACTAAACCAAATCTTTTTAGCCCCTTCCTGTGCCCAGTGAGTATGGCCTGATTAAGAACACAGCTAAGACAGGGATGAAAGCAGCGTCTGATCGTTCAACAGTTATTCTTACAGGGATTTGGTTGTTCATATAGAGATTTATAGATTAGCTATGGCACTTTGAATTCCACTGGGAAGAAAATTGGCACCAGGTGCAAACTTCAGAATGTAAATTTATTTTACATCAGGCCACAGAATCCAAAGGAAGGTGGGCTGACCATTCTGGTTCCTCTGCAATGTCATGGCCATTCAAGTATAATACCAATGAAGAAGCCCATGTGTGATCTATGTATTTTACCCCTAAACTACCAATAGTAAACATGAACTTATTAAAAACCAGGAAGTTTTCTTATACTATTAGGGGTGTAATTTTGTACAATTTTGAGTAATTGAGTGAGGAATTTGGAAAATAAGGTATTCATTCATGCAATTCTATAATCTCAGTGTTTGAACTCTCCTGATGGATTCTTGGGAATGGTCTCTAAGAATTTTATTACAGTGCTGTAATTAAAGGTATCATAACTGTGAGCTCTTATAGCAGGAGACAAAGTATCATAATGAAATGTTAATCTTTATTTTTAAAAAATAAAACACAAGATATTCTGTTTTATTAGTTGTAGTGAATAATTCTAGTCTAATCTCAGTTGGTTGTGCCAAAGGCAGTTTTTTCAAAGTTACAGGTACATTATCATTATAATGGCACAAGTAATAGAGTTATAGAATGAAAATCAAGCATTATTTTTTGCTCTCATAATTTATATCATATGGCTCAATCAATGTAAATTAATAAAATACATTTTTAATTTTAGGTCTAAATAATATTTCTGTGAAAGACTAATAAGTAGTGTTGTGCAGGGATGTTATCTGGATAATGTGTGTATTTACTTAACATACTTCATTTTCTGTTCATCTTGACTCTGATGTTAGGTCTGTTTTCCTTTCCATATTCACTATAATTGTTTTTAACATTTAAATTTTTGATGAATGCTAGAATTCTGAAGTTACCTAACATTCCTGTGAACTTGGGCAGGATACATCAACACTTTGAACTACCACTGACTCCTCTTTAAAATGATGATAGATACTGGTTCGGCCTCTCTTAATGGGGTGTTGGAAAGATCAAATGATTCGTGCTTTTGAAAGTATCAAATTATAAGCAATGAAAGGAGACACCATATTGGTTGTTTCTTTTAAAGTTTGCATTTATACATATTATAAAATCCAGTTTGACTTATGTAATAGATATATAATACTTTGTTTGCGAAGAGGGAAGGAATTTAATAAGGAGGTCAAATATTCCCCCAACAGTTTGCATAAGTATCTTTATGCCCCCAAGTGTGGATGGAGGTGTTAACCACAGGCACCTAACTCCCAGAAGTACAATTCCATTGTACTACAGTCATGACTCATGGAGTAATACAATTTCATATTCTTCCCTATCTCAGGGAGTAGTTAGGTGGCAGAGTTATTTTACTATAATTACTCCCCAAATATTAACCAACAAAGAGTATACATAGCTGACTTTGGAATATACTTCTGAGAATTAATCCCCATCCTTGTCCCAGTCTCCTTCTGTTCTACTATTGGTGGGCCTGTTCTCCAAATCCTTTTGTATTTAATGTTTGTGGAAATGTAAATGATGTGTATACTCAGAGTACTACTTCAAAATCTGAGGTCTTTTTTAGTTTGCAATTTGTATATGTCTGTGGTTAAATGAATTCTCATTATATAAACAAGATATAGGTACAGTTTAAAATATAGTATCTTTCAAAATATATCTTTAGGTAACAACATTTTATTCCTCATTTCAGAACATGATGAGTGTGTCACAAATCAGCACAACTGTGATGAAAATGCTTTGTGCTTCAACACTGTAGGAGGACACAACTGTGTTTGCAAGCCTGGATATACAGGGAATGGCACCACATGCAAAGGTAAAAGGGTTGAATGCCAGGTTCTTTTCCATTATGTGTAATACAGCATCTTTCCCTTCCCCTCTTCCTTACCGTCAATGTTCTGGATGCCTTACACAATAACGAAGGGCCTTGTGTGTGGTTCATAGTCTTCCTCTCTGGAGGTAGGAAAGACCAAGGAATAATATTAATTCGATGGCTCGTAAGCATGGGTCTTAAGGCCTTGTGTGCAATACATTGGAGCCAGATTTCGGTGCTCCAAAATATTACCCTGGGTTTATAAAACTCTGTGGAAATCTTTAGTGTCGATCATTCAAAGAAGGTCTACCCCCTTTGGGTCCAAATACCACTAGGATTTGCTTAGAAAAACTATACAGAGTATAATTTATCCCAGAGGGCTTGCTTCAAAATTTGGATCTTCTGAGAATTTGTTGAGGATTAAGATTTCATCTGTGAGCCCCAAATCTTCTTTCTCTTACTTCCTACTGATTCTGATTTCTTTTTGATATGAAGAGTGAAGTTTATAACATAAAGAACTCTTGAAATTATAAGCAGATGCAGATATAATTCCTATATTTGAAGGAAGGAGAACTTTAGACAATATCAATATTCTCCTAAAAATTGCTTGAATAAAGACTCCTAAGTTCCTGTATCTCTGTTGGAAATGGAGAAAAGCTGAGATATAAGTAGTTTAGATGTAGAATCTGAATCATTGAGTTCTGTGCTTCATCAATAGGCTGCAACCTTGCAAATTACTTCAAAGAAAATGTGCACATGGTCTGGCAGATGTATTATTTTTTATTTATGAGGTTTATATTTGAAATCCATTTGTGAATCCTTGATGAGCCAGGTATTTTTCCCCCCAGAATGGAGACAGATTTAGGATTGAGGACCAACAGAGGCACATGGCTTCTTTGTGTTTATTCCTTTAATTTAGCACCAGAATTTACGATTTCTACATTCCATTACCCTAAGAAAGCATATCCTAGCTAACTAGAAGAAGCACATGCTAAGAAACTAGACAAAACTTTAGCCTCAGTGCCTGAAACAATCTTATCTAGTTCATTTATAAGATACTGTCAATCTGAGAAAGTAGCTTCTGAGTCTTAAAGAGCCAAAAGTATAAAATTAAGTGGAAACAGAAGCTTTGAGGGAAGCTCAGTCTCTCCCATCTTGGTTTTTAATCACTTTTTTTGTTGTTGTTGTTTTTCCTACCTGCCTTGTTTTCCTTTTTTTTTCTCTCTCTCTTTTATTTTTCCCTGAACTTCTTTGAAGGCAACACATCCCAAAAGATGACCCATACAGGGATTCAGATCTTAGCTCCTTTTCCTACTTCCAGAAAAAGTTTCCCTTTATTCTCAAACTTATTTTAATACATCAGTCTTTACAATGTCTTTGCCCTTAATCCTATATTCTGACCTATCCTTACCTGAGAAATGTCAGTCTCTCCCCAAAGATCACTATAATGAATTCTTCTTACTATTGAGAAATTCTAAGCCAACAGGACTGGCTTAGAACTTTTCAAAGGATGGGGTATCTGCCTAATTCTGGTACTTTGGTTGATGTTTAGAATGGTCACAGCCCTATGAGATCCAAATCCCCTCCTATTTCCTTGTCTCAGTGTCTAGGAGAGCTACCATTTTTTAGGTTTATTTTCAAATTGTTACAATGAGATTGAATCTGAATTTTAATGTGCTTCTTATTGTATAACTTACTGTTTTGTTAAAAGAAGTTTCACTATTTTGTTTTACTGGTAAATATCTTTCACATTGGAAACAGTAGTTTTACAAATTGTGTTGAAATTTCTTACATGGATGGAAAATATTAGTATTATAATATTAGAAAATATTAGAAATTATAATAGCTTATGTAATTTGACATCCAAACCTCTAAGAAATGAAAGAAGTTGGACTTTGAGATTATTGAAATACTTCTAACATGCTAAAATCATGTACCTGACTTACATTCTTTATTCATGTATCTAAATTATTTTAGCATTTTGCAAAGATGGCTGTAGAAATGGAGGAGCCTGTATTGCTGCTAATGTGTGTGCCTGCCCACAAGGCTTCACTGGGTCCAGCTGTGAAACAGGTAAGAATATCATTTCATCTTCTAGAAAATGAATTTTTACACTAAAGCATAAAGTAATCCATGAGGAAAATGATGTTTCAGGTTTCAAGTGGGCTCTCAAAGCATGGAGCTATTAATAAGGAAGTGCTAGGAGGAAAGAGGTGGGAAGTTTCAATGATGCATATTCACTGGGCAATTCCCCAAAGTCACGCTAAGGAGATTTTGCAACTATTTTAACTATACGCATATTGAACTTTTTCAGAAGGATGTGTGGGATTGCTCGAGATTTCATGGCTTCATAATTCTTATTACTCACTGTGAGCTCATTTTTACTGAATCTATGGGTTTTTTTTTAAAGCATAGAGTTCAAGCTTATGGTCAAATCTGTTTCTAGGGCACTCTGCCTTCTACATCTACATTTGAACATTTTTAATAAATTTTTTATCTGGCCCATTCAGTATTCTTTAATTTTTGTTCATTTAGGAAATATTTAGAGTTTTCTTTTCCCTAATTATTCCTCATTCAAGGAAGGTATTCTGAACTCACTTTTTCTTATAGAAACCAATATTAGAAACTTTAAAAATTATTTTAAAAATAATTTATAGTCTATCATTAGCTTATGAGAACAAAGTAACATGCTTCATCAGATTTTAAAATGTGAGATTTTAAAAATGTGAGTATTAGCTCCTACTTAAAATTGTGCCAGTTATCTTTTGGTTGCCATTGGTTAAGTAGTTCAAGTAGCAGATGTATTCAGAGAGTCTTATTATTCTCCCTAAAAGAAGTCTGCCACCACTGGTGATTGACAGTTATCATGTCATATTGCTTTTCATAAATCTTAAAGCAATAGATGTAGCACATGCTCTGCCTCTATTCTACCTGCAGTCATCTGATTTAATAAAAACACAAACTGACTGAAATATGAGACAGAAAAACGTTCCGTTCTACTTGGGAAGTGAAAATTCTATGGAAGAGATACTGCCCCTATGCACAAAAGTAAATCACAAAAGGTCTTATATCACTAGATCATCACTCTCTCCAAGTACCTCTAAGTGACATTTTCAAACTTCAGTGATTAATTTCTCATCTCCAATATGAAAATGCCTAGTGACTACCTTTAATGTGTAGTACCCTTTTTAAAGGTATCATTTCCTAAATCAAGAGTTCCCCAAACTTATTATGCATGTGAATCACTATATAGTTTGCTAACATGTTAAAATTCAGATTTTATAATTAATTATAGACTTTACCATAAACCAAAATTAGATACCTCTAATGCAATCGCCTTCCAATATTTCTATCCCAGAATTTCTACCAATATACTATACCCACACATATCAAGGTACACTTTGAACTTCTGTATATTTACACTTAGCAAACCAAGTTTTCTGAGTACATTCTCAAAATTGTACCACTCTAATATAGAGTCTGGATAATGACCTACTGGCTTTGTTAGTACCTTTTAATGGTGTGAGGAAAATGGTGTGGAATTTTGAATAAAGGCTGTCTTGAAAATCTTGGATGAGTAATAGCCATGCCCAATCCTACAGTATAATTTTCCCACTAGAAAATAAATCATATGATGAAATTGTAAAAATCTGGAATGATGTAAAATTAATTTTAGCAATGTAATATTTAAGATGGGTGTAAAAATAACCCACCAGAATATTCAACTCTCTCTGTTTAATTATAATTGAACTTTATGTGAACACAATCCCCAGATTGACTCTAAGTAGCTATCTGTAGCAGCCCAGGGCTTTGAGAAGAACAGATGTGGGCTCAAAATCTAATTCTACTGTTTACTTGTTTTGTGACCTTGGGTAAATTACTTAACTTCTCAGTGTTTGTGCCCTCTATATTTCACCTTACTCTTTGCCACTCTCTTCCAACGTAGCTATGATTTCCATTTATATATAAAAATATTGGGTTCACAGTAATTTAAAAATTTTTTTCACTACTACAGCAGTTCAGGGATCTCAGATTTATCTCTCTCCTTCCAATTCCCACAGAATATCAGAACAAAAATTTGATCATATTACCCCATGTGGAAGGAAAAAAAAACTCTTTTGATGTTCACCATTGCATTTTTACACATGATAGATAATGCCCTTCATACTATATATTCACCCAGCTTCACTATTGTATCTCTCTGGCTCCTCACCTTATTTCCATTTCTAGGCATTGAATTTGAGAGTGTACAAGGTGCTCACTGTTCACTTTTGTATCCTTGAGGCACAGTGTAAGGCTCATACCTTAGCAGTGTTCAGTAAATACTTGTGAATAAAAAAAAGGTGCAAATGAATGAATAACTAAGTGATGAGGATTAAAAAATGGTGCAGTAGCTTCCATATTTGCTGGACTTCCTTGAAGGTTAGTTTAAAGAATCTTCAGGGTCATATGGTTCTGTTCTTATATAGCAGATGAGGAAATATGGCACAGAAAGGTAAGGTAACTTACATAAGGTGTTGCATTATGGATCCTATATCTCTAATCTGGAACTCGTTCCTAGTCCAGTGTCTTCCTCCTCTCTTTCTTCATCTTCCATTTTATCCTATGCCATGCTGTTCATCCATAAATTCGTCATCCTATCATCCTCTATCAGGTCTGTGATTTTTATTATGCCCAAATTTTCAACTACATGATAATCCTGTTGTCTTTAACAGTGAAAACTGTGGCAATTTTTCCTCACAAAGTAATAAAAGCTTTAAGATTGTCAAAATTTGCAAGTATAGGAAGGGCCTACTTTGGTCTGCAGGAATGCTGTCTGATAACCTATAAAGGAGATTAATTTGTAATCTCAGTGGCCAACCATTTGCACCTTTGTAATAGAATCACTGGGGATGAAATAACAGGATTTCCCTGTTTTTTTT